AGGGGTACAGGCGGTGGAGGCAGAGATGTCACAGTACTTGCAGTCACTGGCCAGGACCTTCAAGTAGATAAATAAGACAGTTTTGTAATGTGCTCCCATTCCTTTAGGAAGTTGGGCACATCAGTTCCAACCTGGTGGCACGGTATGGGTAAAAGACTGGAAAAAGGCTCCTTGAAAGCCAACTGGATAGGGCCGCACATAATTGTACTAACCACCCCTACTGCAGTTAAAGTTGCAGGTCTGACTCCCTGGATCCACCATATGTCGGTGAAACAAGCAGCCTCCCTAGATGATGCCACCTCGTGGTCCTTGAAGGCTGATCCCTCTGACCCACTCAAGGACCGGCTCCAGCAGTGTTCCGCAAACCGTCACTGCCCTGCTTTGGTCACACCAGAAGCTGACCAATCCACACACAGCTGAAGCCTGAGGATTCTGCCGCCGTGGGACATAACAAGTACACTGATAAACTTTTATAAGATGATAAGCATATGTCACCCCTTGCCTTTAGTTTTTGTTATATTATGTGCCTTGCTATTTGCCATAGGACTGATAGCAGTTGCCCCAAAAGAATGGAATAGAATAAAAAAGCTATTACTAGAATTCCTTTATCTCCTGTCAACAGGGTGTTTCTTAGGCATCTCAAGGTGGCAATGTGCTTTTTAAATTAACCCTTTCTTTGCTCTGCTTGTCAAGACTGTTAAATTTTATTCTGGGGGAGTTCCAGTCAAAATGGTGGAATAGATGGTCCCTAGCGTCACTCTGTACCACAAATCAACCAATTTACATCTATAAAAATGTAAAGCCAGCCAAGCAGGGGCCACTGCAGCTCAGGGGAAGAGGAAAAGAGACCTACGGAGTTCATGAAAGCAGGAGAAACCATGACAAGAGAAAGAAAAATCTGCTTGGAGCATTTTGGGCCATGGCCGCTTTAAGGCTGGAGCTGCTGAGCACATGGAGCAGGAATCGGCAGAAGCTGCAGCTGTGCCCTTCAGATGGAGTTACTTGGAGGTGGCAGGGGCAAAGAGGACCTTGGTGGCCCCCAGGATAGCAAGACCACTAATAGTGTTCCCATGGACCCACGCAGGAGCGAGGAACCAGAACAGCTGAAAAAGGGGAGCCATTCAGAGGCTGGTGAGTTAACGCAAGGGACCGGCACAGGGCCTGTCCCATGGGAAGTGTTTGGAGCATGGGCGGTGGGGTAGACAGGTCCACCTGGAGAACAATGGGACACAGCAAGGACAGCTGATCCACCCCCCGATCAGCATAGGACCACTCAGAGGAGACTGGTCAGGAATGCATAATTGCATGGGGTGCAGTTTGGTGAAAAAACTCAGGCCCAGATCAGAGTTTCTACACAACCCAGGTGCACAGAGTCTCTGGAGAGCTGGAAGTACCTATAAGGTCAACCATTAAACACTGAGATGCACAAAAAGCTTTCCCCAGGGAAACAGCAGCAAAGCAGCAATTTAGCTCAACCATAGAGCTCAAGTACTGGTTCCCACAGGAAGTTCCCTGTGTTAGAAGTAAGTAAAGGACAGGGCCGGCCAGTGGCTCACTTGGGAGAGTGTGGTGCTGATAACACCAAGGCCCCGGGTTCGGATCCCTATATAGTGATGGCCGGTTAGCTCCCTGGGCGAGCGTGGTGCTGACAACACCAAGTCAAGGGTTAAGATCCCCTTACCGATCATCTTTAAAAAAAAAAAAAAAAAGAAGTAAGTAAAGGACAAAAAATTAGTTCTGGCTCAAGCACACCACCAGCGCCTTGGGGCCTGCCAGGGGACATGAGGCATGGATCCAGGGATAGGACCCCTGCCCGCAACCACTCACACCGCCAGTGCCTTGGGACCCACCTTGGAACCTAAGGCTTAGAGCTGGGGACCAGACCCCACTCCCACTTCCAGGCACACCGTCAGCTCCTCGGGGCCCACCAGGGGACCTGAAGGATGGAGCCGGGGACTGGATCCCACCCGCCCACAACCACACACACCGCCAGCACCTCGGGGCCCTGCCCGGGGGCCTGGGGCATGGTCCTGGGGACCGGACACCCCCGCCCACAACCAGGCACACTGCCAGCACCTCAGGGGCCACCTGGGGCCCGAGGCATAGAGCCGGGGACTGGACACCCCACCACAACCAGGCACACCACCAGTGCCAAGGAACATGCCAAAAACATCCCCTCCATGTGGGTGGCCCACCATAGCCACCACCATAACCACGGCTGTTGCAAAAGTGGCTAGACATCACAACCACCACACAGAAGGCCCACTGGAGTGCATTGACACCAGGAGAGTCACCAGCAGAGACCTAAGAAAAGAAGAGGATATCTCTTTCCACAAAGCCCATTCCAGAGTGACAGAAGAAGTAGCTGCTCTGTGATAATATTGGGGGACCTGTACACACCTTTCAGCATTGGACAGATCATCTAGGCAACAAATCAACAGTAACCAGATCAACAGAGTAACCATTACTCTTTCAGAGGGAGAGAAGAAATCTAGAGTTATCAGTGGTGGGAGGGGGAGGGAGAGGAGGATAGGGAGAGATTGGACAAGGGGCACATTTAAACCTGATGTAGAGGGTGTGGATTGGAGTGGTGAGGTCAGCAGGAAGGAGGTGACAAAAGTGCAGGATCGGAGGGGATGTCCGGGGTGCATGAGGAAAACAGGCCCTGGGCACAGGGTGGGGCTGACCAGATCTCAAGGCAGGACATGGTTTTGTTCTACAAGGATCCCCAGGGCTGGCTTAGGGTGAGATACAGCGGGGAGATCAGTATTTACTTGTTGACTGAATCAATGGGTGGTTTAATTCACCACCTATAGGTGGCACCCAAGCCATGGGCTGATTAATGTATCTGGTTGGGAATGGGCTCAGGTCCCTCTCCTCCAGGATTTCCATGGGCTTCTCCCAAGTTCAGGAAGGTGGTGCTATGATGTTCCAGGTGAAGACAGAGATGAATGGGGTTACCATTGGACCCAGAATCAAAGAAGAGGCAAGAGGAGAGGGTGGCTAGGTGGTGAACCTGAGGTCATTCCTGGTTCCGGGGAAAAGGATATATTTGCCAAACAGAATCCATTTCCTGCTCTAAATGATTATAGTTAGTACCAATAGTTATCAATTTAGATATCAGGCTCTTATTTCAAAATTTAAGTGCATTTTTAAAGTAGGTTAAATTTTAATTTACTAATATTGCCAATATAATTTATTTTAACTAAGTTTTTTTGATTTTCATTGCTCATTCTCAAGAGAGAGAGTGTGTGTGTGTGTGTGTGTGTGTGTAGGGGCTTCATGCAAAAGTCTAGGGCTTTGTTTTTTCTGGGTCCCTTAGCATTAGGCCTGCCCTAATTTGCCAGTTTTTGCTGGCAGTAAAAGGCAGTGTATCTGAGGTGGATGGTATTTCTTGGCTCCCATTAAACATGCACTGATAGAGTTTGGGTGTGTTGTCCCCACCAAAACTCATGTGGAAATCTGATCCCCGATGTGGCAGTGTTGGAAATTGATTGAGTCATGGGGGTGGATCCTCATGAATGGATTAATGCTCTCCCTAGATGGGGGGAGTAATGAGTGAGTTCTCACTCTATTAGTTCCCGCGAGAGCTGGTACATAGGACCCTGGCATCTCCTCTCTTTCTCTCTTGCTTCCTCTCGCCATGTGATCTGCTTGTACCCGCCGGCTGCCTGCTGCTTTCTGCCATGAGTAGAAGCAGCCTGAGGCCTGTGCCAGATGCAGCTGTCCCAGAATTGTAAGCCAAATAAACCTCTTTTCCTTATAAATTACCCAGTCTCAGGTATTTCTGTTATAGCAACACAAAACAGACTAATACATGCACCTCTTGGATTTTATAGGTAGACCCAGAGGAAGATGAAAGGAAAAGGACGAGAAGGGAAAGGAATAAAATTGTAACCACCAAGTGCTGGAACAAGAATGAGGAGAAGACGGAGTGCCTGCAGAAAGTGAGTGCCTTTGACCTGCCCCTGCGTCCTGCTCGTGCCTGTCCCCATCAGCCTCACTGGCAGAAGGGGAGTTAAAAAGCC